TCCCCACACCTGCTTCCCCGTCACACGGCACCTGCTGCTATAGGTGCCTGTCACTGCCCAGCCTTCGCCCCGCACACGTATGCGCGTCCTGGGGAGAACCCCTTGAAGGAGATTTTTTTTTAACCTGTAGGGCCTAGCAGGGTCCCTGACACGTGATGACTACCCAACAAGGTTGATGGATGGCAGGGTGGCGGGCTGGGTCGCAGCAGCCTGTCCTGTCAGGGTCCGGGGCTACCGCAGCACGCACATCCTCGCCGGCGCAGTCGGACGAGACATGTTCTCAAAACGGAGATTTTTCAGTGGTCTAAGGCCTCGTCTGTTCATAGGGCATCAGCATACATCTGCAAAACACCTTGCATTCTAGACTTTTAAAGCGATTTAGAAACCACGACTTCTTAATCTTCACACGCACCACCTCCCCCCAAACCCGGCCCATGAAATGCTTTCAGCATAATTTAGTAATCCAAACTCTACATACCACAGGAGATTTGAAAAGTGCCTAATTAAAGATACAATGCTGTGCTCACCTTATCCTGGGCTTAAATCCACCGAAATTAGTGAGCATTTGGATTCAGAGAAGGAAGAATTGAGGCATTTTTATAGCTGCGGATTTGAAGGGATTTGGGGCATCAGTACACTAGGCGTGAATGAGAAAAACAGGCTAACAGTCAGGAACAAGGAGGATGGTCAGAAGCCAAACAGGATGTCAGAAGGGAGAAGGAAAACTGGGAGCATCGCGAGCATCCCGCGGGAGCCGCGTCAAGGGCCCAGGAGAGGCCAGCGCGCAGGGCGGGGACGCGGGTCGCAGATCAGGTGTCCTCTCAGCCTGATTGCCTCCCTCCTAAAGAGGCAGAGTGAGGAGTGGTGCATGGGGGGGGGGGAGGTTGCTTTCTTTCTTTTTTTTTTTAAGGTGGTTTACTTTTGTTAATTTTTGAAAGATGTGTTTATTTGTTCTAGGGAGAGGGAGACAATGGCCGCAGGTGGCCAGAGGGGCGGGAGGCGAGGGACAGGGCCAGCCTCCGGGGAGCCTGCTGAGCGCGGAGCCGGGCGCCACCCAGGACCCCGAGGCCTGACCTCGGCCCGAGAGCCACCGGCGCCCCAAGGCGGTTCACTCTTCCACACGAAGCCAAGTCCCCAAGGAGCGAGGAGCGTGGAGCTGGCGGGCTGGTGCTCTCCGGCGAGGACAGCGGCCTGGAGCGTGAGCCGCGGTACCCGGACGCACATGACTGTGCTCCATTGCTCTCTCCGTGTAGGTGGGGAAGTCGTACGACCAGAGGGACAGAAGGCACCCTGGCCACCCTGGTGTGGACTCCTCGGTCACGTTGGAGCTGCTTCAAAAGCGGAGGCACCTGCGAGCCTGCCGGGGCAGGAGGCCGCAGAACCTTCCCAGTCCGCGCCCACTTCACTTCCACGCCAACCCCGGCAAGGCCAGGCCTGGGCAAAACAGCAATTACGGGCGCTCCCACGTTGGTGACACGGCCGTACTTCCCCGGGTCTCGGGGCCCAGGGAGCCACCGCCATGCGTCCCTGCAGAGCTGACGGCGCTCTAGACGGCGGCCCCTGCTGAGGAGTCACTACAGCCTGGCCTGTGTGTGGCGTCCAAGCGTGGGGGGCTCGCGGCTTCAGGGCTCATGGAAGGACTGCGGCAAGGGGGCAGGACGCTTCGGGGGCAGTGGGCCGCCTGTTATTGTTCCGGCTCTGGGGTCCCCCGGCTCTGGGGTGCCCTGGCTCTGGGGTCCCCTGGCTCTTGGGTGCCCGGCTCTTGGGTGTCCTGGCTCTCAGTGTCCTGGCTCTCAGATGCCCCGGCTCCCAGGTGCCCCCCAGCTCACAGGTACCTCCCGGCTTTCAGGTGCCCCGGCTCTTGGTTGCCCCCTGGCCCTTAGGTGCCCCGGCTCTCAGTGCCCCCTGACCCTCAGGTGCCCTGGCTCCCAGGTGCCCCAGCCATCAGCTCTCTTCCTTCCTGCCCCCTGTGCTGTCTGCGAGGTGGTCATGGCATGGGGCTGGGGCGCGGGGGGACACACAGCCCCGAGGTGTGCACCTTGGGCCCCCAAGGACTAGGAGTTAGTGCTTCAATGTCTCAGGGTCACCGGAGAGACCCACCTCCTCCCCCAGAACCTCCCCGACCCGACAGGCGCACCCTGAGAAAGACGCCTGCCCTGGGGGTCAGGGGCCCATTTCTGCTTGCAAATGGCCGAGTGACCTCAGGTAACCCGCAACCTCCCTGGACCTCAGTTTCCTCTTCTCTGAATTGTGAGCGCAGGACGAGGAGGTCCTCCAACCCCAAGATCGGGAGACAGATGCCAGCCTGTGCATTTATCTCTGATTTACATCAACGGAGGTGGAAGTAGGTTGTTTCTCATGGAGGAAAAAAATACATTTCGAGAATTCCTTTGCCCATCCGGGCCCAAGACAACTTCAGGTGACAGCCTTTGGGCAGAGTCGTGGATTAACTCTTTATTTCCGTAGATGTTATTCATCATCACAAAGCCGTGGGGAGTTGGGTGGGAGGGGGTGGCTAAAAGCCTCTCTTTTGCTCCAATCTTATAAGAAAGTTAAAAACTAACTCTTTAAGATCATTCTTTTCATTGGGGCACCTGGGTGGCTCCGTCAGTGAGGTGTCCACCTTCGGCTCAGGTCATGATCCCGGGGTCCTGGGACTGAGCCCCACATTGGGCTCCCTGCTCAGTGGGGAGTCTGCTTCTCCCTCCGCCCCTCTGCCCCCCAGTGATGCTCTCTCTCTCTCTCTCTCTTGCTCTCTCTCTCTCAAATAAATAAATAAAATAAAAAAGATAGTTCTCTTCATCCAGAACCCACTGGAAATATAAATTCTGATCACTGTGTCAGCCTAAAGATAGAACATCACAATTCCAGAGGACGTTTCCCAACTTAATGAGATGCTCCAAGAGCTGCTTTTCTCGGAGTTTGGTACCTTTTTGGAAGCCTCAGGAGTGGTCCAATACTGGGATGCCCGGGGGGCTCAGCGGTTGAGTGGCTGCCTTCAGCCCAGGCGGTGACCCCGGGTCCTGGGATTGAGTTCCGCGTCGGGCTCCCTGCAAGGAGCCTGCTTCTCCCTCTGCCTGGGTCTCTGCCTCTCTCTGTGTCTCTCGTGAAAAAATAAATAAAATCTTAGAAAAAAAAAAAAAGAATAAAGAGAAAACGGCCCAATACAGCATGTGCTCAGTTCTGACCTGCAGTGCTGTTGGCTGCCTGGCTGGTGCTGGACTGGTCTCATCCTCTTCCTCATCATGCAAGAAGAAAAAGGCGCTTGTTAAACTGAATCCATGTTCGCCAGGACGGCACCAAGGGCGAAGGTGCACAGAGCAGAGCAGCCCGTCCGCCACAGCACAAGGGGGGATTTGGCCACTGGATCCTCCGCCTGGACACAAGCCTGGCTCTCTGGGTCAGAAAACAGCAAGAGTACGTGATGTCAGAAGATCCGAGGGCTGACGCCGGGGGGGGGAGGGGGGGGGGGAGAAAACGAATACGGCAGCCAATGTTGCTTTTAGAAATGGGTTTAAAAATCAATGTGAGGTCTTCCTTACTTGTGTCCCAAGCATGCCCAAAACCTTCTTCCTTTCGGATTAGTTTGTTTGTTTTTTCTTTTCTTTTCTTTTCTTTTTTTTCTTTTCTTTTCTTTTCTATTTTTTGGCTCGTTGATAAAACAAGAAGAAGTTTCTTTTCAATGTGAAAGTGAAAAGCATTTCTCTGTGTTTAGACTCCTTGGATATGAATTCTCTTTGCAGTTTGGATGCAGAGGAGCTGGTTCTATTCCCAGCTCCACCAAGCAAGTCACTGATTATCTCTGGACCTTATTTTGTCACCTAAAAACACACACACACACACACACACACACACAAGGAGTTTGCAATAGACCATATTTTGCAGCACCGGGGATCTAATTTGCAGGTCCTGGGTTAAAGTAAAAATATAGGATCTAGAGTTCAGAAATGATGAAGACTTTCAGGAGAACAATAGAGTATTAAACCAAGTGTGGGGCCCTCCTAGGCGTGGGGCCTGGGTGACCACACGGGTCACACACACAGGTCAAAGCTGGCCTTGATCTTTTCCGTGCCTTGTCCAGCACCAAATGTTTCTGATCGAGGCATTTTTTTTTTAATCTCCACGTCGCACAGTCCTCATGCAAAAGAAAGATAAGAAAAGGAAAAACAAAAAACTTGATTTGCATTTTTTTTTGCTTGAAATCTATCTCACTTTTACTTTTCACGTTCCTTTGACCATAAGTTGTACCTCAGCCCTTCCTGACTTCATTTTATTCTCCAAGATGGATTTTCTTCTTTCCTGTCTAAAACATCCAAATGACCTTTGCTTTGGGCTTTTTCTAAATCACCATATGTTAGATAATTGTGCCCAAAGGAATTACTTCCAGAGTGGCCTAAACACAAAAGAAAAACACACAGCCAACTTTTTCTCTAGAGCAGTGCAAACATTTCCTTAAACCTAAGTGTCTCCAGAGGAACATTGACAGAAAAAACCTTTCACCCAGCAAGCTGACTGCACCGTGCTTACACAGAATCCTTCTTGCATTTTTACATCCCTGATTTATCTACTGTTTTGCCAATAAAAGCAGTCATGTTCTTTGATTTAAGTTTTTTACAATGGAAAAGTGGCCAGAGAAAATGACTCAGTTGAGTGTTTTATTAACGGAAAGAACGGATATGCCAGCAACATTCCAAGTTCTTTGCCCCTTCTCTATCATGTTACACCATAATATAGCACCTATCTGAGAAGAGGCTTGCAAATTAAATGCTAGCAAATCAATGGCTTTTCAAATATTAGGTTCAATAAAGTGCCAACCATAAAACATAAAGATATTTCACCACTGAGGAGTGAAATCTATTCATATAATTTAACAATTATAAAGCGACTACCAAAAATGAGGGGGTTCGCTCCATACCTTACAAGGCAGTAAGCTTGTTTTCCTGCGTGAGTGTTTCCAGTAGGTTTGAAGGACTGAAGTCTCATCCAAGGAGATAAACCCCCTTTACAACATTTCACCATCACTTCAAATCAATGGAAAGTCAGATTTATTCTTCAGGTTAACCTGTAGAATTTTAAGAGGAGGAAGTGACTTCAAATCTCTTCCAGCTGACAACACGACCTCAAAATGAGTTTATTTCCTGTTTAGAAAGTTTGGGGGTAGGGACGCCTGGGTGGCTCAGCGGTTGAGCGTCTACCTCTGGCTCAGAGCGTGACCCTGGGGTCCTGGGATCGAGTCCCACATCGGGCTCCCTGCAGGGAGCCTGCTTCTCCTTCTGCCTGTGTCTCTGCCTCTCTCTCTCTCTCTCTCTCTCTCTCTCTCTCTCTCTCTCTGTGTCTCCATGAATAAATAAATAAATAAATCTTAAAAAAAATAAATTGTATTCTTTAAAAAAAATAAAGGATCTTAAATTTCTAAAAAAAAATAAAAATAAAAAACACCAATACACTACTGTCTAGTTCATGATAATTCCAAATATTTGAATACTGATATCCCTCCAAACACGAGCAAGTAAGCCTGCAGAACAATAAATGCCTGTCTTGAGAGCTCACCTACTTCTCTGCCTAATGGCGGGATTATATCTAAACCCCTGTATTAGTTGCCTAGGGCTGCTGTAGTGTGGCTTCAAACAACAGAACTTATTTTCACACAGTTCTGGAGGCTAGAAGTTCAGGACCAAAGTGTCGGTGGGCCCTGGTCTCTGAGGGCTCTCGGGGGGATCCTAGCTTGCGGCACTTGGGCAGCTATATCACCCCAACCTCTGCCTCCATCACCCGTCCCAGGGCCTTGTCCCTAGGCCTCTTCTCTTCTTTTTATGAGGACCAGTTGTAGCAATCTGCCTCGGCTGTTCTAACAAAATACGATAAACTGGGGGGCTTGCACAACAGACATTCTTCCTCACGGTTCTGGCTCTGAAGGCTAGACGTCTGAGCGCAAGGTGTTGGCCTACTTGGAAGGACATGAATTTGCAGGGACACTTTCAACCTAGTGCATCCCCCTAAACAAATGATAATCTCTTCTCTGTTTAAATGGAGTCAAATAAAACAAAAATGTCTTTATGGGATGTTCCAGAAAAAAAGCTCAGTCAGTCCCCTATAAATCCATTCGGTTCAGTCATCCAACCCACCCATTCTCAAAGTATGATCTCAGGACCACTTGCCCCAATTCAACTTTGGGAGGGACTGGTGAAAAATGTAGATTCTCAGGCTCCACCCCAGATCCACCAAGTCAGAACTGCTAAGTGTAGAGGCCAGGAACTTGCATTTTAAACAAGCTCCCAGGGGGTTCTGTGCACACTAAAATTTGAGAACCACTGATCTGTAGTGTCAGAAAAGTCTGCTTTACATTCCCCATGGTGCTTCTTAAAAATCATTCCTTTCCCCCCCACCCATTCTTTTCAGGTGAAATTGAAAACAGCTGGTCAACAATTTTTTTTTTAATATTTGAACACCATTCTAAAAGTACGCCTCATTCCTTTCTCCCACATGAAACCACATCATATAAACTCTAATAATATTCCTTAGGATGTGTTTTCTACTCATTAAATCATGTACACACTCTGGTCAAATCCTTGTCATCTCCAGAATCACAGACCATGCCTTTAGGCCATGGAAGGAGATATCACTGTTTCATATTTCAGATTAGAAAAATCTGAAGGCTGGAGAAGTCACACTGAAGCCATTCTCACTGAAGTTACTTCTAGCTATGGAGAAAGGGTACATACTTAAGTATTAATAGCCCACGAGGTAGAGACTGCTTCTAATTCCTCCTTCCTTCCTGTCGGCCCCTTGTATCAAATTTTATGAGCGAGGAAACAAACCTGCCAGCTTCGGGGCCGTCTGTGTTCTGAGCCCTGCGGTGGGGCATCAGGAGGACAGGCAGGTGATGGGACTGGGAAAGGGGGTCACCAGGGTCTCGAGACCAAGGCAACTCTGCATCTGAACTGGAGCTCTTGCACGTCTTAAGAACCAGTCATTTCTTTTTGAGCAGCATGAAAAGAACACTTGGAGAGGACCTTGGACAACCCTGCGATCCCGCTAGAGCCAGAAGTTTTGAGCATCCTAGTGGTGAGACCTCCTACTTCTCAGCCTTGACTTTTGCTCTCGCTTCAAATAGACCTCCGTGCTGATCATTCGCATATGCGTTCACCAAACATGCATCAACATCCTCTGAGTACTCACATTCTAGACATGTAAGACCAGAGTTACAACATATACTCTGAATAAGGGAGTTTCCAAATAAGAAAGAAATTCGAAAAAAAAAAAAAAAGAAAGAAAGAAATTCGACGAGTTAAGGGGAAGGAAGAAAATAGGAGGTGCTTTTCAGACCTAAAACCTCTTTAACCAGTGAGAAGAAATGATTCAAGTGAGCCCCTTCTGTGTGTTGGGGGCCGGGGGGATGGTCGCATCACTTAAGCTAGTGCCATTCACATATTTCCCATCCTATGGAAAATTTTGACCTTTCTTTAGCTAGAAAAGCTAACAGTTTTAGTGGCTTCTTCGAGCCAGAAAGCATTTATTAAGCACCCATCACCAGAAAAACGTTTTTCAAGTTAGGAATTGCTTTCAAAGATAGAGGACACGATCAGCTCTTGAAGATTTTTATAATTTAGGAAAGAAGGTAATTGTATTGTTAGAGAACGCTACAGAAATTCAAGTTATCATAAGGGAAAGATGCCATATAAATGGTATTTGTGGGGATCCCTGGGCGGCTCAGCAGTCTAGCGCCTGCCTTCAGCCCAGGGTGTGATCCTGGAGACCTGGGATCGAGTCCCACGTCGGGCTCCCTGCATGGAGCCTGCTTCTCCCTCTACCTGTGTCTCTGCCTCTCAGTCTCTCTCTGTGTGTCTCTCATGAATAAATAAATAAAATCTTTTTTAAAAATGGTATTTGTTAGCTTGACATGAAAAATTTGCTCTTATCATTTTGGGGAAAAAAAGGTTAACTTCTCATACTAACAGAGCATGATTAAAGGTAAATATCTTAAACATTATCCAGAAAAGTAACATGCTTCTAATACAAGTATTGATTTCATCTTCCTATTACTGAAGTCATACTACATCATAAAGTGTGATTGCTCACAGGAAACATAATAAGGAAGATAGTCTAGAACTGAGACCTTTTTGTGTATATTTTTTATTGGAGTTCGATTTGCCAACAGATAGCATAACACCCAGTGCTCATCCTGTCAAGTTAGAGCTGAGTCTTGAAGGACATGGAGGATGGTGTTGGCAAGAAGAGGAAAACCTTAGTAGGCAGGGCGAACTACACCAGCAAATGCACAGCAAAAAGGATGAGGTATGAAGAAGACACTGAGGAATCTGAACACACTGCCTAAAGAGATCGCTGGGCAGAACTGCAGCTGCAAATAAAAGGGCGGACAAGGAGTGATGTTCTTTGAAGATCAGCCTAAATATTAGGTTGACCATATGAAGCTTCCACTTTGTGTGGCTCAGTACTGTCCATTGTTTGGAATTTCATCAGGTTCAGTGGAACCGCGGAGTTTTCGAAATGATGAAGCGAAGATCTTTAGGGAAGATTTATCTAGTGGTGGACAGGCAGGCACTTGGGCTGAATTTGGGACTGGAAAACCATTAGGATCTACTCTAGTGACCTGAGCATGAGGTGGTTGGAACCCAGACTCGGTTTGGCTGTAAAGGTGGAAAGGAAGAGTCAAATTTCAGAGGAAGCAGGTATCGTGGGACAATTAACAGTCTCTGCCATAGTGGCAGCCTAGTGGGAAAGTCTTCTGTAAAGTGAATAGTTGTTTTGAAAATAACAATTAAGGGAAATATCCAGGTTTTCAAAGATCAGGTTGCCTGGAACTGCCTTATATCTATGAAGGGAAAGGGATGAAGAAAATACCACTTCCCAGTTTCCCCAAACTGTGCCTCAGTCCCAGGGATTTGGAATCAATCCATGAGTCAAGAAGGCATCGAAGAGTTGTGTGGGCAGACTGGTTGTGGAATCTCAGCCCTGGAAGGCAGCTTACAAGAGTACTGTGTTATCTTATTAAACACAAAAAATCCAGAGATTTTCCGGAAGGAGATTTCTCCTAGAAATAACTGTGTTAGTGGCTCTTCGTTTCCAGCTGTGTCTCCAAACCTGAGACATTTCCAGAGTTGCATCTTCTCCTGGAATTATCACACTCTGATCCCGAGAGTACCCTGCTCCTCCCCTGAAATTCAGCCCGGGCACAAGTAAACCCCGTTTCCTCAGTGTCCCTTCATGCAGCTAAGACAGGCTGGCATTCCAAAAAAAGATTTAGCTGAATATTATGGAAGAACCAAAAGGAAATATAGGCAACATAATAATGGTCAGGTTTTCAACGTGTGGAGAGAACCCTGAGTCAACACTGACCACGGAGGAGGGACGAGCACTCCATCCAACACCCCCGCCTGGTGCCCTGTCCCTCTTCACCAGGGCATAGCTCAGGGCACAGCTGGTCTCCTAACCTCCAGGAGCCTGGCCTTTTCCTGTGAAAGTGGGATTTCCAAAGACCAACCAGCAGACACTAGTCTCCTAAGCCAGGCCCTGTGGGAGCCACGAACACTCACTATTGGCACAGCCTAGAGTCTACTCTCTGTTATTCCCTTGCCCGACGTAGTACTTGGCAGGTGTCGGGGTTCAATGTGATGTCTCCTGGGAAAAAAATTCCAAACTTCCCCATAAACAAATGATCAGAGCAACTCCATCTTCCCTCTTAATTCCAGCCTCACATCTGAGGGCCACACTTCCCTCCCGTTGTTGGGACTGTGAAGATGGGCCTCATGACTGGTTGGCTGCCTCACCCACTCCTGCAGCACTTTGGGCCTTTGTCTCAGGCAAAGTCCCATCAGCGTAACCTGGACAACCTGCCTCGCAGCTCCACAGCTGCATGTCCATGGAGCATGAGTCCTCCCCACTCCGAGACAGGGGTTGCCTCAGACTTGACCTGAGATCAGCAGATGCCCGATGCATTTTGAAAGAGTGAAGCTGAGGCCCAGAGAGAATCAGCAGCAGCTTTCCCGGGATGTCGTGGCCATCCAGTGGCAGGGACGCACCTGGCCGACACCTCTGTGTGGC